AGGAGAAAAGACACTACGATGCTCCTTATTATATGCTGCTGTTGCCTCTATAAAGCTGCTGCTGTCCCCCGCTAAACACTCATGGGCCCCTCCTCCTTTATTAGGAACAACAAACCCTGCAGCACGGACGGGGGGCCCCCCTGCTGCTGACCCCACAGTAGCTACGGGCAAAGAAGGAGTAGCAGCAGCAGCAGCAGCAGCAGAAGGGGCAGCAGCAACAGCAGGACCCATGCTGCTGCAGCGCTTATATATTGCAGGGTGCTGCAACAACAACAGCGACAGCAGCAGCAGCAGCAGCAATGGAGGCAGCTCGAAGCAGCCTCCCTAGCTCTTTGTGTCCCTTTAAAAAGGAGGTTTGGTGTTTTAGGGTTTAGGGTTTAGGGGCTAGGGTTTAGGGTTTAGGGTTTTTAGGGTTTCTGGCGACAGGAAGAGTATTAATCGCATCGATACAAAGGGAATAAATAAATAAATAAAGATAAATTATAATTAAATATTTAATTTATAAATATAATTATTATTTAAGGAAAAAACCCCTCCCTTTCTTCGGGTGTCACTGCAGGGGCCCCCAAAGTGAGCTACTGGGGCCTCGTCACGTGACCCTGTACACAAGAGGAAGGAAAAAGGGTACAAATCCTCGTAAATAACTCCTTTTTATTGTTTTTATTATTTAAATAAAATATATTTATTTATTTTTAATTATTTATTATTTTATTTCTTGCTTTTATCCAATTAAAAAGGACCTTTTGCTGCTGCAGATGATAGCAGCAACGAACGCAGGTGACTCAAGGTGTACGTACACCACAAAACAAACAAAAAAAAAAAAGAAATAAAAATAAATAATAGATAATATATAATATAAAATAAAAATTAAATTATAAATAATAAATAATTAATAATAAATAGATAATAAATAATTAGTCATATATAATAAACCTTCTTACCTAAGACTAGACTCTAGACCCTAAACCCTAAACCCTAAACCCTAAACCCTAAGATTCGTGTTTTTAGATGTGAGGAAGTAAATGTGCAGATCTTCTATTTATGCATAAAAGAAGAGAAAAAATAATAAAAAAAATAAACAAATAATAAATATAATTATATATTATAATATAATTATTAATATAATTATTATTTAATATTTTTATATTAATTCAGGTGCCTATACACCTCAATATAATAAACGGAATATTATATTTCATTTATTTATTTATATAAATATAATTATTCATATAAAATTATTTATTTATTTATTTATTTTTTGTTGTTTTGCAACAATTATATAATAAATATATACAAATAAATTCTTTTTTTTTTTTTCTTTTTTTTTTCTTTTTTTTTATATAAATTATTAGGGGTAAGCAAATCTGTTTCTGTCTTTTATCTGTTTCTTTTGTTCTTTCTTTTCATTGTCCCTTCTTCTTCTTCCCTTTGTTATTTCTTTTTTATTTCTTTTCTTTTTTCTTTTTTCCTTTTTTCTTCCTTTTCTTATTAGCTATAGATAAATATTTTCCTTGTCTTTATAAAGACACGAATAAGTACTAACAATAAAAAATGTATTTGCTGCAGCTAGCCTGCTGCTGCTGCTGC